CCCCCCCCCCCCTAGAATTTTTGACCTTGCACACGTGTGGTTATCGTGTTAACAAACACCAACGACGACAACGACAATGACGACAACGACGACGGCACACGAACGGAAAAGTGTCTCAAAAAGTGGTTTTCTTCGCGTTTCATGAGTTTTTATGATGATCTAAACCAATTTTGCGAAAAAAGTTTTCGGGACCAATTCCTATACTTTCCCTTGACACGGTGTGTACGGAAAAGTAATAAGAAAATTTGTATGGAAGGTAAATCGCTTTCGATTGGCTTCAAAATTTCAGGAATTGAGTTTTTTGGTAAAAAAATAAGATCCAGAAAGTTTCATGAGTTTGGAATATCACAAATGAGATTTCTATTGGGATTTTACTTTCATGGTATCATAAAAAACTCATTTACTTATCTAGATCTTATGCTGACCTGTAATTCCCATAAACAAGCCACAGATATGGCTTTCGGTGCTTGATTTGAAGCTGGCTAGAAGTTTTGGATGGGCAGACTGTCGAAAAACGAGATTTCCCAAAACAATTCACCATAATGTGAAAGTGAAATACTGAGGGTTTCCGTGAACTGATATTCTTGCCTATTTGAACCCAAAAATGGTCAAAAGTGCTTGCTTTTTATTACTGATTTAGATTTTTCGGACCATTTCCCACAACTTTTGCCTTATTTTACCCACTGTTTAACGTGAAAAATTCTTAAATCACGCGTTTGAAAATTAAATCTGAGAATATACGAAAAATGATATTTTTGCATATTTGGATCCAAAAAATGTACAAAGTGGTTGGGTTTTTTGCTGATTTAGAATTTTTCGGTCATTTTCAACAATTTTTGACTTATTTGCGACATGGTTTTGCATGAAAAATGCTTAAATCCCGCATTTGAAAGTTAAATCTTTAGGATTTAACAAAATTCGGGAAAATCACGATTTCAAAGCCCCATAACGCATATCGAGTGTACTCATAAGATCAATTTTTCTTGTTTTTGACCAATTTTTATGCTTTGACTTATTAGCTTTCATTTTTTGGCCGTTTTCGCAAATTTGAAAATTAAATTACCACTTACAACGGGCATTAATTACATTGTTAAGATTTCAAATATGAATTCTGTTCTTAAATCATGAATTCTACTGTTCATATTTAGTTTTCAAATATTCATTGTTCAAAATAGCAAGATAATGTTGGGACAATTACAATAGTTGGTACACCACAGGAGGCTACTCAGAAGATAATAAATCGAGAGCCTTTGATGTTCCGTGTAACTTTCCCATATAGGAATCCCATACCAAAAGTTGTTCGAATAGTCTATGATAATCAATTGTTATGTACGGGACCTGAAGGTAAGTTGCAAATCATCATTGCAATATTTCTCTCAAACATTCATATGTTCTATGGAAAACTTAAATTTAATATTCAATTGGACTTTTTCAATAAATTTAGAACAACCTAGTCCCCAATCAGTAGTCAGTCGCATCGACTTGAAGCATGTAATGAACACGTATACCAATTTCCAGCCAAGCAATATGAATAATATTTATAATTTTGACCATAATTTCAACAAACCAAATTATGCGTCGAATTTTGGAGGCCAATATACACCACAACAATATTCGCCTTCAAATACAATGAATAGCTATCCAATGTTATCCTCAAGTTTCCCGAATCAAGGAATAATGACACCCGCCTACACCGTAGCCCTTAGACCAACAGCAGTACCAACAATACGAACTACTACAACAGAAATGCCAAGCTATGAAATCTCTCCAGTTTTAAATACTGATCTGAACACAATTTGCGGCACTCGTCACTCTGAAACGGAGATTACGCCACTTATTTTTGGTGGAGAAGAGACACAACGAGGCGATTGGCCTTGGATGGTGGCAATTTACCTGAATAAAGCTACTGGTTTGTTTTTCAAATTAATTATTTAATAGTGTTAATAACATTTAAGCTCAATTCAAATGATTATTTATCCATCAAAAATTATAATAATTATAATTTTAATTCTCAATTTATATATATAAATATATATTCATACATTGCAATTGCCCCGCAGGACTGAGTTTCAACTGTGGCGGTACTTTGATTTCAGCCAAAACTGTCATAACTGCTGCCCACTGTCTCAACACATCGACGAAAAATTATCGCGCGCAAGAAGTGGTTCTATATTTGGGACGATACAGTTTGATCGATTGGAGTGAAGTCGGTTCCATAGCAACGAATGTGGACCAAATCATTATTCATACAGACTATAAACGACAAAGAGAATCATTTGATGCTGATATTGCAATTTTAGTAATGACCAAACAGATTGAATTTAATGAATTCGTAAGACCCGCATGTTTATGGCCCGGTACTGTAGGCATTCAAGAAATAGGTACGTTTCACAGAATAGTCGAGCATTATCTTGTGTAATAATATGGATGTTTTTCGTTTAATAAAATGGCGAAATCGGTGGAAATCGGTGGTCATAGAAGGAAAGAATGGAGTTGTTGTTGGCTGGGGAAAAGATGGAACGGATCGAGTTGTTTCAAATATTCCGAAGAAAGTGAATTTACCAATTGTTAATTCTATAACATGTGTTCAAACAAGCGAGTCATTGTCCAAAGCTGTGTCCAATCGTACATTCTGTGCTGGAACACTCAATGGCGGTAATTTGTTCTGAAATTATTTATTAATATTTCTATTATAATTTTTTTTTAATTTTCATTTTCATTGCCAATGTACTCCCACAGAATTTGTTCAATTATTTCATTCGGACTGCGTTTTTAACGCAAAATAATTGCACAAATTCGGTGAATCAGTTGTTGTCTGTTATAATTATTATTATTATTATCCCACAGATGGTCCATGCCATGGGGATTCAGGTAATATCAAAGTGACCTTTCTGTAATTCAAAGAATGCGAAAAACTATCATGTCTTTTTTCAATCATTAGGAGGTGGATTGACTCATTATCATAATGATCGTTGGACTTTGAGAGGTTCGAAATATATATATATATATATATCAGTGCAAATGTTTATTAACCCTCAGACGTGCACCTGGGGTCGGCCAGACCTTTTTCGCTTTTACTCGGTTTTTAACACATTTCGATGATTCTACACGAAGCGGGACAAAATTTGCAAATGTTCTCTCCGATTTCGCTCAAACTTGGTGTATAAACTTGGTATGGCCAACAAATTAGGGTGAAAAAATCGCACAATCTCACCACAACTGCCCAAAATACGGCAGTGCACCTACTTTTTTATTAAAAACGATTGCGTTTTCAAATTCCTTGTCGAAAATTAGCCCAAGAACGATCGGTCCAAATTTTTTTAAACCTTACCATCACTCCAAATATACAGTCAGTCAAAAAAGTATTCGGCCACTTGAATTTTTTTTTATTTTTGGATTTTTTCGTGTTATAAATGACAAAAACTGAACTATTTTCTATCTATTTGTTAAGTTTATAATCTGTTCTTATAAGTTCAGGCCGATTCCGGAAATATTTAACATAATTTTTGCCTTTTCTGTAGCCATGTTTGTCGAGAGGTCGAAATTGTGCGCAAAAAAAGTATTCGGCCAAACAGATTTATTTGAGAATTTCTACAAAATTTTCTATGAAATATCAACATAGACGCTGCAAAACGATGAATTACTAATATTTACAGTGATTTCAAGCCATTTCCAGGGCCGTAGCCAGGATTTTCCCCAGGAAAGTGTGGTTCCACTTTACCAAGTGATAGCTTGCCCCAAAAAAACAACTATTTCGAAAAAAAATCTGGGCTGGCTCTTGGAAGTTTACGGAGTTATAGGGCAAAAAGGCCAAAAATCACGAAAAATCACGAAAAATCAAAGTGGTCCGATTTCAATGAAAATTGGTACACGGGATAAGTGAGAAAATATAAGAACTTTGGCACTAAAACTGGTCCAAAAAACTGGTCCGAACTGGTCCAAAAATTTATTTTGACATTTTGGAGCAGTTCGGACCAGTTTTTTGGACCAGTTTTAGTGCCAAAGTTCTTATATTTTCTCACTTATCCCGTGTACCAATTTTCAT